CATTGTTATTATAAAAGATCACTGAGATATTATTTCGAGCTTCTCTCATTGTTTACTCACGCATTACATTACACCCGTTTCTAATCAGTTCCTACTGTTTAACGAACAAATAGTAGAGACTGTTCGAACGTTACCCTCGTCCACGCAACCCTGAGTCAATTTTGTGATAATTGGTAAGATTAATTGACGACATTGAAAAAAAAAGGACTAGTTAAAATCTCTGTATGTGTACGCGCGTGCGTACGTATGTGCATGTGTACATACATATACATCATTTTCTGTTATATCTTTGACAGAAAGAAATTTCCATTTTTTTTCTCTTTTGTAAAATACATATACATATGTTGAAAACCAATGATTCAGCAGCCATTCATCTCTCTTTTGTATATTCAGTTATTAATTGACTGTTAAAAAAGAATATTTTTTTCATCTATTTAATCATTCATAATGTTAAATAAATAATCTATTATTTTCGAATAAAATATCGATCGAACTGTATCACACGAACGATAGATAAATCAAACATGTACACATATATGTATATACATACATATACACACACGCAGGTTAGAATTTTAGATCAATCAACACGTTTGTTGATTTAGATACATCGTATCTTTTTTTTTCTCCTACTCACCCACGATACTATAATATATCGATGATAAAAGGATAAAAAACAAAGTGTTTTCAGAACTATTCAGAACACACTATCCGTTCGATCTTCAAAACGCTTATAACTCAGTTGAACAACACTTACAGAAGATATTCAACGGCTTACATATATAGGATAGATGTAGAATTTTACTTCGGCGCAAGCGCAAAAATTTGACCTCTACTTATCTCTACTATTAGGTATTTTCAATCATACGTCTTTTTTTCGAAGTTTACTGATGGTTCGTAAATATGTAATGGTTATGAAATCGAAGCACGCAGAGTCGTTCTATGATGACACTATACGATATATTTGTGCAATGTGTACCTTTCATTAGCTCGAAAAAAATTCTTTATCGTTTGCGTCATACAAACTTCGATGACTTCATTTCTGATTAGTTTACTTATGATTTTTTGTCTTTTTTCTTTTTTTATTTTTTACTAATCAATATATGAAAAATATTTTAGATAATAATAAATACATAGATACACACAGTGAGATGCGTTTAACTTTCATTGTTTTCATCGAGTCTGCGCCCTTTATTTGAAACATTTGCTTATTGTTAGATCGATATTGTATGAATTTCAAACTCATATGTATATATAATGTCAGAGAAATGTATAATAATTTTATGAATCATCTTCGATATGAAAGATGCATCCATATCGATCGATATTTCAAAATCAATATTTAAGAAAAAAAAAATGATTATAAAATTTTTTTTAACCTGTTAAAATGTCCGATTTGTTTTGAAATAATTTTTGGAAATTTTTGAAATCAATTTTTCCAATCTTCGAAGGTTGAGAACCACTTTCATAGGTTAGAAACAATAAAAAGTTATATTCAAATCGATCGTACATTAACCTAAATTCATCTCTCAATTAATTTGATATCCTAGTTTTTAAGATAAAAATTAAAATGAAGTATGTTAAAGCGTCTTAATCTTTATAAGCTACGGCGAAAATACATTTTGTTTGAAAATGTAGGGAAAACGTGGAACGTGACTATCGTCACGGTATTTTGTAAAGCCACGTGAGAACTCATACATAAGAGTATTCTGGTACATCTCCTTGATTAACTTCACGCTAACTCGTATTTAAAAATACAAAGTATTGGCACGATAAATAAAATACAAACAAACGTCACAAGTCTTATGCATTTGGTTAAGTAGCGTGGCCAACAAGAAATAATGAATATGTATTGATAACAAGTTTCTTTACAAGCATTATACTTAAGCGTTATACTTTTAGAAATTATGTAATATATATTTACAAAAAAAGGCGAAAAAAATATATATAAAATTAATGTTGAATGTTTGTTCAATTAAATTTTCATAAATATTCATTATGATTAAAATATTAAAAAAAAAAAGTGCAAAAAATACATTTTTTAAAAAATAAAATTAGAAATTTTTTTCCTTTGCAAAAACATATTCTTTCTTTTCAAAACGTGTAAATAACCTCTAGGAGATCAACTTGGATCGTTACCAAAATAGCAAATAATATTAATCACTTTGGAAAAATTTCGGAGCCATTCAGTTATAAGCGAATTCGAATTCCCGAAATGTCTTCCTACACGTGAAAATATATTTGGAATTTAAAAAATCATGTAGTCGATTCTCACAAGATACTGACGAAACAACTATACATATATACATAATCATACACAATCATTTTAGCTTCTTGTGTGACCCTTCTGATGAAATGACGACAATACCCCATAAATACAAGACGAACGGACATAGAAACCATAGGTGATTTTGACCAATAACAATAACGCTTTCGATCATTTTTATCGATAAATGTTCATTTGTATTTTACATGAATATTATATGTCTATTAAATGATATATATATATATATACATATAATAGCTTACTTTAAATATCAGAAAATTTTAACTCAAACTATATATATCAAAATCACATATCACAGACAAATATGATGCAAGAAAACATGGTAACGAGAAATACTTTGAGAGATGACTGAACCTTATTAAACACACACCCACCGAATCGACCAATCACAGATCTAAACAATATTTCCCGAGAATACTTTGGTTAACAACTTCGTTATAATGATTCATTGTCTTGACGTAATAAAAATCGGAGAAAAACATATATCGTAATATTTTTAATGTCGTAATTATAATACCTCGTTGCAACAGATAACGTTATCGCAAAGCATAGAATATACGGACTCGCGGCAGATAGACGTGCCTCTGCGCACACCCACTGTATTGGCCAATCAGAGAGCATCTTGTATGGATGTACTCCGTCTTTCGTACCGTAACCTATTTTTATATGATATCGACTAAATTATTATGACAGATTTATTTTATGTAACAAATGTAATACGAGATAAAAACATATAGTTAGTTGGAATATATTCGAATGTTATTTATGTAATTATTTAAGTATATTGATAGTGTTTTCAAATTCTTTATACACGATAGAAATGATAATCACTGACCACTAATCCGTTCAATAATTTTCTTCATATGTGTATGTATGTATGTATGTATATATATATATATATATATGTATATATATATATATATGTATATATATATATATATACATCACGTGAATGCGCATAGTGGAAGAGATCGAAAACGTATTCCTGTCTATTAATAATAAATACATATATATATAACTAACCTAAAAAATTGTTTACCTTTATATGCTTTTTTTATCATTTTTAAATTATATTGAATTAAATGTGATAGATATGATCAATAATTATAGATATATCTATTGTATTGTCGTTTAATTATATGATGAAGACTACAAATATATTAATCGAATGGTTAGAAACTTATCAATTCAAACCAAGTATATTTATATACACATATCCGTCCGTATATATATATATGTATATATATATTATATATTATATATATATATATATATATAATATGTTGAATATCGGTATTCATTTCTATAATAAAAGCAAATATTGTAAATATACATATGTGTGTGTATATGTGGAATGATACGACATATCGAGCATGAGTCTGAATTAATAATAGTAAGTAAAAAAATATATAAATAAATCATGTAAATATTGCAAATTAATACTAGAATTATCAGTTGATACTTTTTTGTCAACCTTAATTCATTAACTTATTTTTGTATACATATGGTGTATCTATTAATAAAACCAATTTCTATTAGATGATATTTTGTTCTCATAATAAGATAAGATACTCTAGAATAGTAGAATAATAATAAATAAAAATAAAAAGAAAATAAATTTTAAAATATAAAATATTATGATGTAAACATTTATAGAATTCTGATTGTATACTGTATAAATCTAATTATAAATAATAGATCAATGAAAATTCAGTACAACCAGATTCTCTCTGTTTTACGTCATAATTTATCTTTCACAATCAATTTCTCTTACTGTATGTATGCACATCATACATAGTATATGTATATACGTATGTAGTAGTATTTACGCACATTGTTGCGTCACGCAAAAGGAACTTTACCGACTATTTCCCATCGAATAAAAAACAATCATCGCGACAACGAAGAAACGAACAAAGCGAAGACATTGCTTTGAAAAATTATCGATAGTCAAGGACGTAGTCATTACACGACGTGTAATGATTGCAAGGTGGTCAAACGGATCTCGTTTAAATTTCAATAAAGTGTTTGATTTCCAAACAAAAAATTTAACAAAAAAATGTTAAGAAATAAAAATGATTATATAAAAATTAACAAATTCGTGTAAATCATCTAGAAATCGCATCGATACGCGTGTAACGTGTTTAGTATATATAAAGAAAAACTTAGACATCTTACAACCTACGTAACATATGCTCTTTATAAACCCTAACGTATTATAATAAATATATTAAATATAAATTTTTCGATATGATATACTTGCCGAGAATATGTCGCTTGTGTGTCTTTTCGCGTGTAGCTTTGAATAACCGCGCCATTTCGAAATTTCGCTATAAATAGAGTATTTTCTTGCTAACGTATACGTTTTCCATCGATATACTATATGCAGATGCATCGCGAAGTTCTCTGATCTAAAAGGATATCAATAAATTTCTTATTCGTTAGCAAGCGAATACGATTCTCTCTCTCTCTCTCTAAAATTTTTTTCTTTACGTATTACTTTGATTTTCAACACTGATTTCATAAACAGATTTTTTTAATAATTCTATATTAAAATCCAATTCTATATAATCAAATATACAAATTATCAATTTATATGGATATAATTAAAATAATTATAGGTTATGTGGAGTGAAAATTTGATAATTTCGAAGTTTCGATATAAATTAGATTTTTAAATCGAAAAAATATAAGAATGTATTTAATAACTTACCCCTTTAGCAGAAATCGGTACGGTAGTTTCTCTGGTATAGATTGGAGCATCCAAATCACTGACACTGCTACTGATACTGGGTGCTCTGGAATCACCCCTACCACCTAAAGGTACTGAGAGATGAGTAGGCCTGAGTGGATGCGATTCTGCGATGTATCCCTCACCAAAATCTTCGTCGTCTCGATCCATCTCAATAAAAATAAACGATTTCCGTGAAAATAATTATATTATTAATATTAATATAATAATGAATTAAAACATATTACCGTAGAGATTATAAATTTAAATTTCGCGCCATTGACGTGTTCGAATAAAATTGACTCTTACTTTTTGTAATATTATAATGACGACCTCGTATATATTATGTAAATTTAAATTAATATCTTTATTAATCGATACAATGAACGAAAGAGAAAAAAATAAATTAATCGATTTATATTTGATAACTTTCATTTTACTGCGTCGTAGATGGCTAACATAAAATTAGCACGGTAGCGTGACAACAGTACGCTTTCCCTGCTAAGTATTTGGCTACTGATCAAGGCTAGTAACCCGATGGCATCCTCGATTTTTATATTACTCTTTGTCTGTATCCTACGATCATTCAATAATGATAAATAATATTCTAAAACATTTATGATAGAGTATTAATGAGATTGAACGATCTCCCTTTAAATATCCATTTTTTTTTTTTAACTAAATCAGATTAATATCGTAGAATTTATACGTATTAATAGATCTAATCCGTACAAATAAATAACACAAACGATAAAATTCAATAAATTTTATTTATGATCAATCCGATATCATTGACTGAATTATTGAATAATTATATTGGCATAACTTGTCGTAATATAAATCGATCATAGTTATAATCAGATCGGAAGAAATACAAACGCAAGGTACGAATTAATTAAGAAACTACGTCATATATTATCAAGGTTAATCGATCTCCAATAGTCATCCTATATCATGTAATAATTGTCTCATTGCACGTGTCTTCTCACAAATAAAAAAAAATGAAAATAAAAAAAAGAAAAAAGGAAAGAGAGAGAGAGAGAGAGAGAGAGAAGATGGAAAAAAAAGTATCATCACGATATTAGAATCTTCTCGTCTTCTAGAATCTTACGATAACTACGATCACATTACTATTATTCAAATAAAATCGCGGAATATTGTATGAAGTGTCTCATTCGAACGTTCAAAGTATAAATGATCATTTACATACATACATATAGACAACGTAGTTACCTGATATCTGCGGTCGAAAGTTCTTACACGTATAGGGAGGTTTTATATGTCCTCTTCTTCTTTACTTACACTACACAACGAAACCGCAACACCTTCCTTCTTCGTCGATAATTAATACACAAGGAAATTCGTTACGCGTTAATTACCCCACTCGAAGTTTATATTATAACTTACATACGTGTTGTGAAATTACTTTTTTACAAGGGAAAAAAGAAAAATTGGTAAAAATTATGGGATTAAAAAGAAAGAAAGAAAAACAAAAGAAAAATAAAGAAAACGGATGAATCTTGAAAAAGAATCAAAGGAAATATATCTAATTAGAGCACCCGTGCAACCGGGATATACTCTTAAGACTGAACTAAAGGACGTGCGTTTCGTCTCGTCTCGTCGCGACGTCCGTCGTCGTCGTCGTCGTCGTCGTCGTCGTCTTCGTCTTCGTCGTCGTCGTCGTCGTCGTCTTCGTCTTCGTCTTCGTCTTCGTCGTCTTCGTCTTCGTCTTCGTTTTCGTCGTTTTCGTCGTCGTCTGCAAGAAACGTAGCCGTTGGCCTCTTTCTCTCTCTCTCTCTCTCTCTCTCTCTCTCTCTCTCTCTCTCTCTCTTTCTCTTTTTCTCTGGCTAGATTTAATTTTAACGTGTACGTTGTCGGACGAGCCTCCGTTTTGTTATAACTAAGAAAAGCTACATGCAACAAGCCTCTCTTACTCTTATTGGTTCCCTCCCCTTTTTCTCTTTACTTCATCTTCTTTCTTAATACGCACATCAATTGATTCTTTACAAAGACCGCACAATTGATTTCACTTAACCCTTGAATACAATCCACCCAACTCCTTAACGTTGAGAGACCCTGAAGAATTGCAAGGACCAAACACCTATTAAAGATGTAAAATAAAAAAAATAAAAAGGATGAAGAACAAGAAGCAACGATATCTTTAATATCTTTTCAAATATTAACGCGCCGATATCTCATGGACATATCAATTTTGAATAACAAGATAAGTTTATTACAAATTTACATATACAATGATAATTCGTTATTACAATAAAACACTTTTTAATGTTCATTTTAATTACGGTGATTTATATTCTCTAATTATCAATGTGAGATTCATTGAAGATTCATTATTTCGTCGAAAAAAGAGTTAGAGCTTTTGCCATATTTTTAAATTCGAATTTCTTCGCGCCGTATTGTGATATACTGAAATGGTTGCCAATTTTATTTTTTGTTTTGTTTATATTCAAATATAAATAATTTATTAAATGACGCGATGTTTAAATCATAATAAACTATAAACTAATCATCAAAGATTATTAATGATAATTAGTGAGGATAGTTGCGTATAGAAGTTATATAAGCGTTATGATGATATCATTATTAGATCGTTCTCAGACAACGTAGAGGAACGAGAGAAAATTTACAATATTGAGTTTCTACATGAATCAATTTCCAGAGATGCAGTATTCATAGCTATATGTTTCATCTAAGCTTGTTATTTTGTATAAAACATATAGTACCTACATGCAATTATAATTATAACATTTATATGCACTTCAAAAATTGAATAACTTTAATATAGTTGTTTATAATTCGTATTTTTTTACATTACCTAATATTTTCCTATGAATTTTATTGTTAATAGGTTTACATAAAATTCTTACCAGGAAAATATATTTCTGTTTTTTTTTATAAGTATTTAGCTACCTACTATCTAGTTTGATCTCGTATAATCTCAATTACACGTCAGTGTTTATGTATTTAAATGGTGATTGGTTTTATTGTTTATACAACTGTATGATTGATATAGTTACAATAAGGAGATAATAAGATTAATATATAATATTGTTTTTATCAAACATCTATAATAAAAAATATAATCTCATAATAATACAAAGAAATGGTATTTCTTACAAATATTTTAGGTTATGTTATAAAAGTATGTATATCATTTATGAACAAGTATTATACTCCAAAGAAAAATTTTGTTTTTAATAAATTAGATAAGATATCTATATTGTAGGTACCTAGAAAACATTTACGCGTTGGATTCATAGATTCTTTACGTCTTAATGTAAAAGGAGGTACCGGAGGATCCGGTCTTCCTCGATATGGTGGAAAAGGTGGTTCAGGTGGTAACGTTTATGTTGTGACAAAAAAAGAATTGACGTTAAGACATGTTAAAACGAAATGGAAAAAAGTAAATATACATGCTGAAGCAGGTACCAGTAGTTCCAGTAAAGGAATTCTAGGAAAATCTGGTAGTGATATAATTATTGAAATTCCGTGTGGTATAACTATCTTTGATGATAATGGTTTAAAGTTAGGTAAGCTTACTTGAAATCTTTAAATAATATTATGTATTATATATAAATACATATTTTTTAAAGTATATATTATATTAAATATAGGAGATTTGAATAAAGACGATTTAAAGTTATTAGTGGCAAAGGGTGGTCTTGGTGGTTGTCCAGAAACAGGTTTTTGTGGTCAGAAAGGACAAAGCAGGACAATAATACTTGATTTAAAACTGATTGCTGATGTGGGTTTAGTTGGATTTCCCAATGCTGGAAAAAGTACATTTTTACATGCTATGTCTAAAGCACGTCCAAAGATTGCACGTTACCCGTGTAAGTGCAATGATAAATTTGTACAAATAATAAATTTAAAAGGTATAAATATGTTTATTAGATTTTTTAAATTCTTATGTTTTTTTTCAGTTACTACTTTAAAACCGCAATTAGGTACTATGGTTTACGATGATCATAGACAAATAACAGTTGCAGATTTACCAGGTTTGATCGAAGGTGCACATGTTAATATTGGAATGGGACATAAATTTTTAAAGCACATAGAAAGAACAAAGTTACTTTTATTTATCGTAGATATTCAAGGTTTCCAATTGTCCGTACATAGTCTTTATAGAACCTTTTTAGACACAGTTATCTTACTAAACAAAGAAATTGAACTATACAAACCAGATTTATTAAATACACCTTCTATGCTTATAATAAATAAGATGGATACAAATAATGCTGATAAAATTTATGCTGATATAAAAGATAAATTGGAAGATTTACCAAATGTTGCTTCAGAATATCCTGAGGAAATAAGACCTGATCATGTTATAGAATTTGATGATATTGTGACAGCATCATTAGCTTTAAAAAAGAAAAATGAAATAGAAATGATTAAAGAGAAAATACGAAATATACTTGATATTAATCAAGAAAAAGAATTAATATCAAAAAAAGAAATTGTATCTAATTCTGATTTACATGAAAAACTAAAACAGCAAGTAAAGCAAATTGGACCTACACTTGTATAAATTTTTTTTTAAAATCTTCTAGATTAATAAAAGACAACTTTATATATAAGTAAAATAATTATTATATATTAAATATACATTCAATACATATAACTTACATAGTTGAATTCATAGCAAGTTTTTCTTCTATCTTTATTCGTTTGCATTTTAATTTTGAAAGTTGTACTCTTTCTGTCCAATCTTCTCCTATGGCTGCTTTTGTTTCTACAGTTACATTTTTAATCTCGCTTTCATTTCTGAGTATATCAATACCTGAAATCCATTTTTCTACTCCATTCCAAGCTATCATGACACCATTATCAGTACATAATCTTGGTGGTGTCCTAACAAGCTTATAGTTTAGTTCAGAACATATAATATCTAAAGCTTTTGCTATAAAATTATTACATGCAACACCTCCTGATATTACCTATAATCATATCAGTTATATAATTGAAAAATTACTGAATTGAATCAGATAAATGTATACTTACCAATGTTCGTTTATCTTCAGGAATTAAATTAATGTAATCAAGAAATTCTATTGCTCTTTGAGTTTTATGACAGAGATGTTTTGTAATTGCAAATTGAAGGCTAGCACATAAATTATAAACATCAGGTATAATCATGTCAGCTATAATATTATGTTTCTTCTCTTCTTCAGTAATATGCTTTGTACATGTTGCTAATATTCCAGAGAAACTAAATCTACAGTCCTGATATAACTTCATAGAGTCATTAAAAATAAACTGATTTACATTAGATGCCTTGCATGCCGCTGCTTCTACTGCTTGACCTCCACTCATATTATTAAAATCTTTTATATTATTCAATTTAAGTCTACGAGCAGCCTATAAAATACTTCTATATTTTATTTTTGTAATTGCAATATAATATTTATAAAAATTATTTTAAATTTATTAATATTATGATAGTATTAGTGTAGTATGATAGTATATAGATATTATGATATTATGATAGAATATACCTTATCTAAGATTTCTCCTGGTGCATTGTTCACCGATGAACCAAGTATAATAAATTTCTGTACATTTTGAACAACTACAAGCATACTATGACCACCTGATATTAAAAGTACAAGATAAGGAAAATCTACCTAGAAGAAAATATTTGATGTTATTCTTAATGTCTAGTTATGTATAAAGAATAAAAATAAATTCTCTATTTTATACCTTCTCTGTTATTCTAACTGTAAGTGCATGAGCTTGCATATGATGTATGGGTATAAATGGTTTATTACCAAGAACCGCTAGATATTTTCCAAACCTTTCACCTATTTGAAGTGATAATGATAGACCTGGCTTTACAGTAGTTGCTATAGCATCTACGTCTCTTAATTTTAAATTTGCTGATCTCAATGCTTTTTCACATACTTCTGTAATATGTTGTCTATGCATATTTTTTGCAATTGTAGGTATTATACCTCCGTATCTATAATCATACAATATATTATGTAAATGTAAATGCAACTGTTATAAAACTATAAATCATTAAATCTTTTAACATGTTGAAATTACTTCAAATGTAATAAACATTGTGAATTAATTGCTTCACCCAATATATTTCCATTACTATCTACAATACCGCAACCAGTGTCATCGCAACTGCTTTCAATTCCTAAGATTACAGCTGGTTTATGACTACTAAATTTTTTGGACTTTTTTAGACTTTTTAATATGCTATATCGAGGACACAGGTGCTTCAATGGAAATAGCATTTTTTCTGAAATAAAAAAAATAAAAAATAAATAGAAAGTCATAATGCAAAGCTGAAAATAAATTCTATATTTTTTATGAATTAAAATCATTTTTAACAAAACCTAAATATATACAATTATTGTAAATAAATAATACTTGATATTTTTTTTATTTCAATAAAATTAAGATTTTTTTCTCGCGTATGTATATATATATATATACACACTAGAAATATCTCGTGCACAACGACAAAGGTTGGCAACGTAACGCAGCTGCTATTGAAACTGCAAGTGCATATCTTTCATTTTCGTTTCAGCAATGATACAGAGCGTTACACCATTCTAGAAAGTGGGGTTAGTTCTTTTCTTTTTATTAAAATTAAATTTTTTATATGCGTTACATTAAATAATAATACCGACTGACGTAATCAAAGAAGAAAAATTGTAATTTTTTAGAAATAAAATAAAATTAGAGAACAAAGAAAAACAGTAAGATATACACAACGTATTGTCATTTTTCAAAATGGCTCGACAAAGTGAAATAAACAGAGTCTCTGCAAGAATACCACAATTTTGGATGGAAGAACCATTGGTCTGGTTTACACTAGCAGAAATACAATTTAATTTAGCAGGAGTAACGCAAGACAATATAAAGTATGCACACGTTTTAAGCAAGCTCGACGAAAAGTATATTCATGTGATGCTTGACGTCATAATGAATCCACCGGCCACAAAAAGATATGAAAATTTCAAAGAACAGGTAATAAAACGATTCACTAACGCTTCAAATATAAAGCGACTACAATTACTGGAAAAAGAAGAACTTGGTGACCGCATACCCTCTGAGTTTCTAAGACATTTGAGAAATCTGGCCGAATCCAGATTATCTCAAGGCTTGTTGTATATTATTTGGACTAGCAAATTACCTGCACATATACAAACTATTGTAAAGACAATGCATGATTCACCATTGAACATTAGAGCTGAAGTAGCAGACAGAATTGCTGATCTTTCTTTGCCATACAATATGCCAACAAAAGCAGCAGAAATAAAAATAAAAGATATTAATAATGAAGATGTTATCAGCCTTAAGCATCAAATAAATGGTTTGACAGAGACAGTTAAGGAAGTGTATTTAAATGAAAAACAAAGAAAGCTCGAGTTTTATGGAGCAAAAAATGAACAAAGTAGAAAATATCAGCTAGATAATCAAGAGCAAGAACACCAAAATAACATGAACCTGAAAGAGATATGTTACTTCCATAGGAAGTTTGGTAATGAAGCAGGAAAATGTATATTGCCATGTAGTTTCAGACATTTAAATTACACATCACAAGTCACCGTTGATGCTCAACACATAACAGGTAAAAACAATATCATTGTAGATACATTATCTGAAGTATCAGGGATTGCAACCACAATAAATTATAAGGAATTAGCTCAAGCACAAGAACATGATTCAGAATTTCAACAATTTAGACAGAGGAAGACTGCATTTTTGATCAAGAAAATGTATATTCGAGACTTCAATGCAGAAGTATATTGTGATATTTCTACAGGTCAACCTAAACCATTCTTAACAAAAAGTTATAGAAAGTCAGCTTTTAACTCGATACACAACTTATCACATACAGGGATGAAAGCAACAATCAAGTTGTTAAGACAAAAATATGTATGGCCAACGATTAAAAAGGATGTAAAACAATGGATCAAAGAATGCATTGTATGCCGAAATTCAAAAATAATAAGACATGTCAAATCTTCAGAATATTTCATAACTCCATCCCAAAAATTCGAGGATGTCCATATAGACATAGTGGGACCACTACCTATTTCAAATGGATATAAATATTGCTTAACATGTGTGGACAGATTTACACACTGGCCTGAAGTAGTTCCCTTAAGAAACACTTCAATGGAAAATATAGCACAGGCATTTCTGGAAGGATGGATTTATAGATTTGGAGTACCATTAAGAATTACTACAGACTATGACAAACAATTTGAATATTATTTATTTAAGGCTTTTAGTAAATTTCTTAGAATCACTCATTTATGGACCACGGCCTATCATCCTGAAGCAAACAGTCTAATTAAGCGATTGCTTAAACAACTGGAAACAATCATCAAATGTAATGGCAACAAAAACTGGACCGAAGTACTTCCAACTGCCATGTTGACTATTCGGTCAGTGATCAAAGAAGATATCCAAGCAACGACAGCAGAACTGGTATATGGAGAGACAATAAGATTTCCAGAGGAATTATTAATCAAAGGAGCCAAAGATAGTATGCTAGAATTTTTGAAGCAGAACTTAACCATGGCTACTGATACGTTTCTTTATCACAATGCAACGATGAAGCCACTACAGCCATACGATGAAACTAGTAAAGAGAGAGAAACTAGTAGAGAGAGAAAAATATTTTACCATTAAGGTAAATGCTAAAAGTACCAAAGTAACAATTGACAAGATCCAACAAGCATTTATTAATGCAGATGTATACAATACAAATGATAAATGATATTCTTCACAAATATGAATCTACTTAAAAGAAAAAATGAGACTTTAAACATAATAGTTCCTAACATTGTAATATTTTCATTGTATAAATTTTATATGCATTTATATTTACTATATAGTTACTGAAAGAAGTGTCATACAGTAATGTTAGAAACATACTGTACACCAAGATCCTTTGCAACACAACACCAACACCATCTGTTAAATATTAATAAGACTACAAATCTGTATCTTTTTCACTTCCTTTTAGACGACAGTATTCACCGTCCAATGTCATTTCAGAGAAAGTTACTTTAACTTATTTTAATAAAGTTAATTTTTCTATTACCAGCGGTTGTTGATTTTCCCGATACGTTATACGTTACAATTTATATATCTATATAGTAACTTTTTGTCCACGATTAAAATCTTAATTAGTTAAATATTTTTTCTTTGAATTTGGAATTCTGAACAAATTTAATTAATAGTTTCCATAAAAAGAATAAACATACTTTAATTTTTAATTAACGCTCCCATTATAAATGAAAAATATATAAATAACAATAAGAAAAATGATACCTTAGCAAACATATTTAAGAGTATTCATTACCACTGGTTTTATAATTATTTATGCCATCAATGAGAATAGGTGTAATTCTTGACTGATTTTGATTAACAAAGCGAAAAAGAATCGCGTTAGAAAATGTTATTTTTTCAAAAGTAGTTTACGCTCAAATAAAAAGCTATTCACAAAGAATCGAAAGTAAATGAAGCTTTAATTCCATTGGTTGAGAAGATATCGTTATATCGACAATATTTTTCGATATATCGAAGAGACGATATTGATGGCATCGATCGAAGTAAAATAACGAAGCCATCATAGGTTTTCTCTTGACACGAAGAAGATTGGACGTACCATGTCAGAACAGTGAGTTATTTTTCAAATATGAATTTATATTTGATCTTAATACTTTTTCTTTAAACTAAATTTCGTTAATAAAATATATGGTATTGTCTCGAAATCTTGCATATAGTTATTCTTTTATAATTTTATCAATTTTTAGATGTTTTTTTAGCCTAATAAGTGGAGGTTAGGGTTTTCGAATACAAGTGTGACAATGATTCAAATTATTATATCAAGTATAATCATCAATCGACTCTTTAAATATATTTATTTATATTAATTTTTTACGGTTATAAAAGAAATAAACTTTTCAGTGACGATACTTTACTTGATGAAGATCTTGGGGATGAGGAATATGATTTGGGCAATGATGAGGAAGAAGCCCTCCTAGCTGATGACTATGAATTAGAGAGGGTGAGCATAATGTTTACCCATTATATCCTTATTAAATGAAATTGTTATTTAGTTTTTCTCTTCCTCAGCTGATATAGAATAATATAAGATATATTAGTTCTATCAACATTAAAATTAATATAATTAATTTTTTATTGGATAGATATTTTCTTAACTTTACATTGAATGGTAATATTGTCATATCGTATAAAATAATTTCATTTTATTTTATTACTAAATTATTTGAAGATAAAAAAGTTAGATTATCATTTTTCTAAATTTATTTTTATATCTTTGATATATATATATATATATATATATATATATATTTTTTTTTACTCTGTGATTCAATTTAAAATTAATATATTCCCAACAAAACCTTTTTATTATTCTAGTTGTATGTTGGAATATTCTCATTTTTATCATTCTAGCTATATGTAATTGTCCTAAAATTGAATGATTTTTTAAAATATTTTACAATATGTAAAATTTGAGGTACAAGATTAACAGATTTAAATATGTTAAAAGAATTTATATTACTAGTCTTTCTGTTGTAAAAATCTGATCTTTTACTTTATAAAGAAATAATATAATTTATATCAACATGATATAATAATAACAATGTGATTTACATAATCTAAATATATTACAAAACTATTTGAATATGTAAAGCATTAACACAAGATTTTCAAAAGGTAGATAAAGATTATATTTAATAATGTAATGTTTCCAATGATCGATGCATTTATATTGTATTAATTGTGAAGATTCTACAATCTTTTACTAATAATATTTTGCAAAAAAATAAATATGTAATGTAATGTAATATAAGCGATGTTATCGTTAAGTAAGAAATGTAAGCTTATTTGGATGAGTTACAAAATTATGAAAAGTAGCCATTATTATTAAGAAAATATAGCAATTTTATAACATATAATTAATTTCTTCATATATATAATGAGATTCTAAATAAAAAAAGTGAGTAAAAATAAATTTGAATGTGAGATAGAGAATGTATTTGAAATATGTTTTTTACATTTTTGGAGAGATACAATACAAATAAAAATACTAAATGATGCTAGACTATGAGCACAATGTCATTTTTATCATAAATTCTTGTCTCTTTTTTAAAATTATAATATAATAATAGCTACTATTAAATCATTGATTGTGTGTATGTGTGTGTGCGTGTGAGTGTGTGCGTGTGAGTGTGTGCGTGTGCATGCATGTGTGCGTGCGTGTGTGTATCTATATATATAGCATCTGTAAAGTGAATCATATTATATTTCTTCTTGCCTAATTCACATTCACATACATAAAAACATGTGCACGCATATGTATATGCGTTTATCCTTTTTTGCTTATATTCATCAAACATAAAGAATATATATCCAATTGTTCTCAGTTGTCTCCAATATGACATAGAATAACAATTGCTTCTTTTAAAAAAAAAAAATGATATATGGACTATATATTTTTGCTGTTTTAATTTTTCTACATAATTCATAAATCATTATATTTAAATAAATCTTATGAATGAATGAAGAACATGAAAAGTTCTGAATTATATCAGATATTTCAAATTTATTAACAAAAACTAAATAAATAGTCATTACTGTTTTATACGGCTTGCAATTTAAGCATCCTATAATACACTAATGTATAATTATTTTATATAGATTTCGTCTGTTTGATTTATTTATCAAAAACAAAAAAAATTATTTATTATATTGAGAAAAATATTCTGAATGGTTTAATGTAAGAATAAAATTAAAAAGTATAATTGATGTCAAAGTATTGTGTAATACTTAATTATTAATTATATTTTATTTTGATTTAGAAGAAATAATTTTATTTAAATATTGAATATAATTTATATTAATAATATATGCTAATCTATACTTCTGATTGGAGAAAAAATTCTTTATATTCATGATAGTATATTTTAATATTGTTAGATATAATCTCTACTGTTCCAAAGAAACTTACATAAAGCTATTCTTGAAAGATTGAATTTTCATCTACGAACTATCAATTACATTACAATCATAGAAAAAATAAAAGTACATTTTGTAAAAATGACATGTATTAAACATCAGCCATTAGCATTAGCATTAGAAGTTAAATTATTTTCAATTGCATAAATGAAAATTATAATTCATGTGCATAAAAAGTAACAGTAAATAATAATTCAGACAAAATTGTAATAATATAATTTTAAATTAAAGTCATCTATACTAAGCATAATTCATATTACTGTATTTAATTATGTTTTAAATATTTGCATTAAACTATATCAACAATCTAAATTTATTATTACTATACAGAAATACTTAAAATAAATTATGACTGTTAAATTCATGTGACAGGAATTTCATATATAAAGCTGCTTTGACTGAAATATATACTATGCTGTTACACTTTAAGTGCATGTATGATAAATATATTTGTTATATAAATGCAATCTTCAATACACAATCTATTTAAATGCAGTTTATTTACTAGTGCAAACCATAGATAATATTGTGATATAAAATTAATCGAAAAGATATCAAACAAACAATTTATAAACACAATTAGTTTCTTTGTCTTATTCACTGCATACAGATTTATTTTTTATGAAGAAGCATGATACATGACGTAATTATCATGTATTTATATTAGGAAAAAATATTCATGTATAAATCATAATACTGAACATGTTTGTACAATAGAAACAGTATTACATATTATTTATTGTTTATAATAATTAAGTTACATATGAAAATGAAACTATATTGAACTTTTAAGATTTTGTATGCAAGATCAGATGTAATCAAGGTTTGAGGTTTGCTATTGTAAAAAGGTATAATATTCCAAATATAATTATGTAGTTATTATAATATTATGGTTATAACATTTTAGTATTTATAGAATGTAATTTTTGCGATAGTACATTGTATTTACATTACAAATGTTTGGCAATTTAATTCCTTAAGCAGCACAATAGCTATAAGGGAGAAGAGGAAACAGATGATGTACTGGACTTAGGAGTTGCTCTGGATGACTTAGAAGGAGAAGATGAAAATGTAGAATTTAATAGAACAATAAAGACTGATATTCAAAATAATTTTTATGAAGATGGAGAACAACATGATGATGAAACAGGATTTTATAAGCAAGAAAAAACCACTGAGTATAATACAGATCAAATCAGTCAGTATGAAACAAACTCTGGATGTAGTAGTGCTAATATGTCTACCACTATTGGGAAAGGTGATTTACGAGAGAAGCTACAGAAAAACATGCAGAAAGTCTACGTTGGAAATGGACAGGGACTTGAAGATGATGATTGTGAAGAAGCAAAGGAAAGACGTAATAGATTCCAGAATGAAAGAACTATGATTTCACCAAAAATGAATAATAATATTCCTGATACTTTGGAAAATGTATTGACATCTGAACCATCCAAACCATCATTTAGAGGTAGAGGAAGAGGACGAAGCTCAAGAGGAAATAAAGTAGGAAGATTTATTCCATCGGTTAGTGGTAATTATAGTCCAAGGTATGTTTAATTTTTTTTTTTATTACAATCTACATCATTCTGTATACCTTTTACTTTTATATCATGTTTGGTATGATTTGTTCTTTTATAGGTTTGGTAATACACGTGGTTTTGATAATCAGCAACCATTGTGTAGACCACCACTGTTGGAAGCTAGACCACCATTTCTTCTTGGTGTACCTAATAATGTACAGAATCAACAGATCATGTATCAACAACCAACTAATTCTCCAGTACAGAATTTCCAACAGTTTTCTCCAAATAATCCACTACAACAAGGACCTACACATTTTATAGATAATAGACCACCATTTAATCCTAATCAGTTTCAAAGTTCTTTGGGTCCACGTACAATTGGTCCACGATTAGAGTTTGGTCCTAGAGGACCTATTACAACACCATTACAAGCTCCACCTTATAATTGTTCGACTAATCCAACATCTTTTGTGCAACTACCACAAGTTTTTCAAAGCTCAGGAGCAATTTTACAAGATAATCCAAATCGAC